ATTTTTGACAACGAATACCCAAAGATGGATTTTATGTATATATTTACGTAGGGGTTATTTAAGAGTGTGAGAAACAGTAAATATTTAAAAGGAATATTTTTCAAGAAATTAAGTCATTGCTTATGATAACATGCAGTACATACATACTCTTTATAAAGTAAAGAACACATAGTTTAAACTGTTAAATACAATATACCATAACTGCATTGAAGTCCCTCAAATCCAATCTGACATCCACCCACATATTCCCCGGTCGTTCTGTTACATCTATTCTGTACTCCACAGTTATCATTACAATCTTGTTCACAGTTATTTCCAAACTTTCCAACTGAACACTCTACCATTATGATATTGACAGATATTTCAGCATGATCAGGCTGAATATAGTTTGGCTGTCTATACAGTTTATATGTTTTCAAATATCGGTTGATAACCTATGAAAAATGCACAATTTCATTCATGATGACATTTCACGAAAAGGATTACCCGATTCACAAAGGTTTCCTTCAAACCCAGCGTCACAACCTTGAAGACATGAACCATTAATGTAATGACACTGTTTTTAATTAAGGCAGGCTCCACAGCTATACCTATAATATATTATAGTAAGTACAAGCTTATTAAACACATGTACCTTTATTACAATGAAGATCCTTCCAACCTGATTGACATCCTTTTTCACACTCTCCTGTCGTTCCGTTACACATATTAGGTACGCCACATTTGTCATTACAAAATATTTCACGGTTTGTTCTAATTTTCCGACTGAACACTCTGAAAGGTTATATATTCAAAAAGGAATGTTAATAATTATTTTGCACAGGTCTAATATTTGTAATTTTTATATTTAAAAGGTTACCTTTATTACAAAATGTTCCTTCAAGCCCAGCGTCACAGCCTTCAGGACATGTCCCGTTGATGTGATGACATTGTTTATATCCCAGGCAAGCTCTACAACTCTCTCCACAATCCTGTCCATACAGTACCAACCAGACCCAACCTGACACAGAGGAGTCCCAGAGTAGTCCCGGGGACTGCTTTCTGGGACTGCTAAAGCAGTCCCACAGCAGTCCCAGAGCGGTCCCTGCAGTCCCAGCGGTCCCAGAAAGCAGTCCCAGAAGTCCCAAAAAGCAGTCCCAGCAGTCCCAGTGGGCGGGGTTGATTATTTTAATGAGCGGAGCTTACTCAGAAATGAGATTACCAATAAACAATGTTACTATAAAAGGCAGTTGAAATTGATGATGCATTTCTTTCTGAGTAGTATCAACAAATATTTACAATTCTTAAGCGACAGTCATTTCTGAACTGTTAAGAAAATTATAGTATGCATATAGAAACAAATAATAATTATTGAACGAAGAAGACGTTCACACCTACTTATAATATGAATATTTAAACACAATTATGTGGTATTTTAATTTTTCACCAAAATAAATCAATTTTTTTCTGTGATTGATATTGGTTTCCATATTTATTTATTCATTTTTTATAGAAAATTAAACTTGAATTGTTTATTTTCTACCAGAATTAGCTTTAAACAGATCCTATAATTATAGAGCGAGGCCGATTCCCATACTATACTCTGAATGCATTTTTCTTAATTATTGGAGCTTTTGAAAAATTCCTTGTTAAGTTTTGCCGAGTATTATTTTTCAGTCATGATTATTTTCACTTACTTGCCAATTTAATTATTGTTAGATTCTATGTGTAACACATCTTTGCTAGCCAAGGATTTCTGATACGACTACTCTCCTCATAAACCATTGGCATACTGTGCTGACAAAAGACGGGATTGTTTTCGTCACGTGATCACGATTCTTACCAGGTATGCACAGATTGCGTCATCGACAGAAATAAAAACAGTCATTCTACAAAAACATGATCAATTAAGATTTTTTATGTCGCTTGCAAATGTACCGTTGTAATATCTTAATTATAAATTTAAAGGTCGATTTCAACTCTAAGACTTAACATACACACATGGTTTTGTAAATATTCACCGATATATATAAAAGTTTTGATATGAACATAATGTAATGTTGAAAAACGTATTCCACTGCAAATCTTAATGTCGCTTCATTTATATACAAATTTCAAGATGAAATTTTCAGCCGTAAAATCGTTCCGAATAGAGTGCAATGAATGTTAAAAAATACTTTTATCCTATATATATAAAAAGAAATCAAACCACTTCTCGCAAAGAAATGCATAGATCTCCTTTCATGCGAATTTATAAGTATGTCGCTTAAAATCGATTAACTTCCGTAACGATTTTGTTTTAAATTTCACGCATAGAATGCAGACTTCAAAAAGAATTGAAACTTATCTGAAAGTGACCACGGAACCTTATATCATTCTAACTGCGAGTCAGCTATTTTACACGATTACATTTTATGAATTAGACAAAAACAGTTGTCTCTCTTAAAAATTTAACTTCCGTAACGGTAATTCAGGAAAGTTTTTGCATTTAAGGTATAAAAATTTTGATTATTTTTGGAGCAAAATGTTTCACACTTTTGTTTAATATCCTAAAAAAAAACTTTGATTTTAACTATTGAAGAGAATTTTAACTTTCATGCTAGGAATTAACTTCCGTAACGATTAACTTCCGTAGCGATATTTTTCCCGAAAATTTTATTTAAATTCGGATTCATGCGAGACTTCATGAATCATACTTTAGCGTTCTTTACTGAACATCAGAGACGAAAAATTGGTCAAATTCAGCTTTATTTAAAAAATAATAAGGCTTGATCAAGCATTAACTTCCGTAACATTACCTTAAAATCAATGGTATCTTGAAATTGTTGTAAAAAGTTAACGATACCAGATTTGTGGACGATTATTTTTTTTCAAGTTCACTGATAGGTCCTTTAGGGAATTATGATGTTCATTTTGCTACTTGAAACAATTGTTTTTTTTTTTTTTCATGTTTTTTACTCTGAATTAGTTCATTTATCGTAGAATGACTGAGAAGCGTATTTTAAAAAAGAATGTTTTTAAAGAATAATTAACAGGAAGGTGTTGAATTATGTTAATTAGTTATTTAAACATGTTAAAATGCAAATCTACATCTTCAGTATTGATTCTTAATCAGATATTTTGCACGTAGCTTAAGATATTGGATGACACCATATCGCTATTCATAGAATGGCGTGTTATCTTACGGATCCTTGATTACTTGCGTTTTTCATTCCCGATATTAACAGCTGATTAAAGAGTCAAGATATATCCCGAACGCAAATATCGTCATAAAAATTTACAAAAAACAATTGCTGATTGGTCGAACGATGTCGATCAACTCTAATCACATCTTGAGAAAAAAATCCCAACATTTTTTAACACCGTATGCCAAGGGCTTATGAGGAGAGTAGCGTATCAGAAACCCTTGGCTAGCGAAGATGTATGTAACAGAAAACAATAACACTCAGTTTTAAGTGTTTTATTATATAAACGTTCGAGCGTACATCTGTAAATCACGCGAATGGAACCCTAAGATTATGTTCAAAATTAATTAATCCCGAAATAAATTTATTGAAACAAAGATTTTTTTGCAGTACATAGATTGAAATTAGTGTCATTACTGACCAGCACGTTCAGTGAAGTGTAACACTGATACCCAAATAACATGTATTGACTTTCTGCTAATCATGCCCAAAGGCGATAGAAACCTCAGGTGTTGACACCATTTTATACAATTGTATTGCTTTTTATTAATCGTCCCGGTAAACACAACAAAACAAATAAGAAATAAGTCACAATTCCCGATATTTCAAACGTCTATTTTTAAAATAAATATATCTTTTATTAACTTGTTTATAAATCAAAAACTACATGTAATTCATAAATAAATCCCCCAATAATTATTCACATTGTTTATGTGATGAAGATTGGTAAAATAATTTTACTTCATAATCATTTAATAAATTACAATGTATTAGGTTTTGTTTGAGGCAGGCAAAAAATAGCATGGAATACTCTTTTTTTTTCTAGCATGGTATTAGCTTTTTCAATTGAGAAAAAAAAATCCAGTACAGTATGTCCATCTGAATATCTTACTGAAATGGCAAGTTATTTTGATTTTTTTTTTTTTTTTTTTTTTTTTAAGTGCTATTGCAAACTTTCAGTACTAATTTGACAGCATTATTTAAATAAATAGGCCTAGATAATTTTTTTTTTCAAACACCTGTATTAAAGTTTAAGTGATAATTAAAAATCATCTCCTGACATTCTAGACTAAAATTGTGTAAATTAACAGCCCCACAAGACGTTTAGTAATTACATGTATTACTATATCTACTTATTAAAATTTTGTAAGAAATCCTTGTTTTATCTTAAACATTTCTCTGCTGAAAGTAAACAAAACAACAACAGGAAGCCTGCAAATTCAGAATACACAAGGGGCAGAGCTATCATGTCACTCAGAACCTTCTTCACGCATGAGTGAACAAAGCAGTCCCCGAAAGCAATCCCAGGGACTGCTGGGACTGCTGGGTTTGCTTTCTAGAGCAGTCCCACAACAGTCCCAGAGCAGTCCCATAGCGGTCCCAGAGCAGTCCCACAGCGTTCCCAGAGCAGTCCCACAGCGGTCCCAAAGCAGTCCCGGGGACTGCTTTCTGGGACTGCTTAGGTGTCAGGTTGGGTCTGGTTGGTACTGTAACTGCCATCATTGCATTCTATTAAATGCATAATATATAAATAGTTATTTTGAACAAAATCAGAATAAGACCTAAACAAAAGATTCAAACATATTATGCATTATGTAAAATACCCATTCAAATGTCAAACAAATGGAGATTTGAACAAGAAAGATTATTTTTGGAAAGGACTTTACTCTCGTAACCTTGATAAAAATGATTATATTTGTTTATTTTTAAGCTGTATTACCCAATGAATTAATTACTCTTTGAAAAATACTGAAACTTAAATGCTTTATAGCCTTTACTTTCAAGACAACTTAAAATTTGCTTTCGTCAAACAGGAGAATTATTTAAGTTTCTGACCTGTTTCACACTGATATCCTTGGTATCCAGGTTTACACCATGAACATTCTCCTGTTTCTATGTGACAATTACGACAAATGCTGGGACAGCGAAGAGAACAATTTGATCCATAAAATCCCATTTCGCAACCTAAAATAATTCAATATGGTAACGTGACACTTAATGAACAAAAATTAAAGACAATTCAATGGATTACTTCTATAATCTAACTTAGAATTAAAATACCTAAAAAAAAAAAAAAAAAAAAAAAAAAAAAAACAAGGGAGTACTTTATTTGTTAGAGCAACGGTAGATTTAAAATGTTTTTTTTTCCAGATTGAATGCATTGGAATTCCTTTTATATTTCTCGCTTTAACAAAAAAAAAAAAAAAAACAAAAACAAAAACAAAAAAAAAAAAAAAAAACAAAACAAAAGCAAAAACAAAACAAAAACAAAACAAAAACAAAAAAAAAAACAAACAAACAAAAAAAAAACAAAACAAAACAAAAACAAAAAAAAAAAAAATTACAATTTATTTAAATTGAGGTATTGTCCTCATATTCTTTTCATTTTATATGCATCAAAGATTAAATGTTTTACACGAAGTCGGTCTTGTATTTTATTTTTCAATGGTTCTTTTACTATGCATCACTGCGTGTTTGATTACAAGACATTCACAGCGTAACATCTACGTTTCTCATTACTTAACAATATGTCTGTTAGCGTTTCTATATAAGTCTAAACAATAAAATGATTTCTTTAGTTGCTAATACAGGAAATAATGTTGTAGCTTTTGCAGAAAAAATACATTACCCACGTAAGGGGATTAAGTAATTTTTTTCTGCAATAGCTGAAACGTTAATTTCCCTAGAACAAACAAAGGAAGACATTTTATTGTTTATTTTTATAGCTGTGTAAATTATTATATAATGTAGGATTAAGTACGTTAAACAGTACATTATTGAAGTCATTATTGTGTGTTTGATTGATGGAAAAGCCGTTTATTAAAATGACAGTTTGGCTGCAAAATGTGTGCTTTTTCATTCAATTTTACCCAATATATCATTCAGAAATAAGGTATAAAGATGATGTAAGCACTTTGAGAAACAGAAATATTCTCTCCTCATACAAAATTAATGTAATTAGAATCTGCCGGAAAATCAAAGCTCGTTCGAACTGGAGCAATCTTAGATCTGTTTATTTGTACCACGTGAATTCTAAAACAGCACGTGCCTACACTGTAGAGTTTACAATTATGATGAATATGAGGTAAAAACAATTCTCAAAAGCAAATTATCATAACTTTCTGATAAAATAATCTGAATTGATAATCGTAAAGATTTTAGTCGAATTTAACAGAATTAAAAGTACAAATGTTGACATTTTGTGTATTGGGGTCCGAGAAAGGAAAAACCACCAAAATCATACGTTATCGCGGCAAATGTCAAACAGAATATTTTTCTGCACAATTAAAAAAATTACCATTTCAAATGGCAACAATGTTTATAAGTCATAGGTGTATTTTTATGTTGAGTTTACACTATTTTTTTTTCTTTGAAAGCTATGGAAAAATGAGAAATGATAACAAGTATCAACAAACCTGTCGAGTAGAACCTTCGCGAGCCCTGCGTGAGCGTCGCCGGGTTCCCGTTTCTTCTTTATCCAACGATTATATTAATCCCCAAACTAAATTTTAGTCAGGAAAGTTGCTTTTTCAAGGTTTATTTTCAGTTTCTTTTTCTTTTTGGTCGACTTTGTCAATGTAGCAGGCCTCCCGGGCTTCCCTCTCTTACCATGTTGTTTTGTTTATGAAAACTACGCATGCACGCTAAGCATGGTATGTGGAACCCCGAACATGTTGCGATGTATAAATTTATGTCCCATAAATAACTATTAATTTTAATGAAATAATAAAAATTATTTAATTGTGAAAGTTGTAATTTTCTGAAAGTTTATACATTTGTGATTGGTAAAAAATTCCAAATCTTGTCGGAAAAATTTATCAAGTCAGTTTTTGATGAGATGCGCCGTACTGTCACTTTAAGAAATCTATGTAATTGGTTTTCTTAGCAGGTTTACTGACTGATAAACAACCATGGTTTTGATAAGAGATAAAGGAGATAACATTAAGTGGATGTAAATATAAGACAATTAACAATTTAGTATTTCTAATAATATATTAGACCATGATCTTTGACATCCGAAAATCAGGTTACTGTTTAGGGGAAAGAAATTATTTCCTTAAAGTACTTTGTAATTAAATCCACGATTATGATGTTTGATGTTTGTATATTATTTAAAGACAACGCAACTGACCAAACTTACTCCTGTTCACTTCTGAACCATATTCTTATCTTATACAAACTTGTCAAAGCCATATTTCTTTCAGGCCGTAGATATTTAATATATGTACTTAATATTTAATCATATTATGATTTTCCATATTTCACCTCATTCTTTGGTATCCTTCTCCAAACTTACGTAATGGACATGTTGTTGTGCAAATAGATTATATACATTAATGACCTTAACTTTCAATTCCAATTATCTCAAAAGTATGAGAAGCATCTCGATTTAGTAAAACATATTTTGAGGTTAAAATATCATTTTTGTTTCTATCAAAAAATTGTAGAAGTAATGTCCTACTGTACGATGTGAATTTCGAAAATAAAAAGTTAACCTGTTTCTATCCGCATGTGACAGTATATGATGTGATTTCATTGAAGAAAAGGTTAAATTTATAGCATACATATTTAGGAAAAGAAGACTAATGAAACGTCTTAATGTGATCAAAAGATATGATAACAAGCCCCCCCCCCCTTTTTTTGTAAAGGAATCTAGAACGTACCATAAACCTCCACCTCACACAATTCATTGAAAGCGTTCACGGAATACTCATCAGCATAAGTTGAATTCTGTGGTCTCTCAGTATAGTATATGACATATTGTCCATGCGTAGTACATGTTACGTTAGCGACAGCGGGAATAGTTGATCTGTTGTATATTGTGTCATGGAAACACAGATATCCATCAAGTCTATTTGTTGTATTTGATATATAGACATAAAATCTTAGAAATCTAGCCGTAAGGCTATCTTTAGCATCTGCAATTTAAGCAATCAATTTATTTAAGAAAAGCAAGCATGTCTTTTTCAGTTTTTACATGTATAACGTAAGCACACTATATCAGATTTCAAGTATATCTCATAATCATTAGACACAATTTATTTGTGATATAAGAATGAGCACACTTAAAGAGAGCTAAGTACACAACTAGAACAATGTTCTATATTCATTTTATGTAAGCAATTAAATGCAAAGTTTTTGAATGTACAGTAAAAAGCGTTTTTGGATTTGTATATGGTAAATTGATAGATTCATTTTCAAAAGCCTAGATGTTTTGATTTATTTCTTTTAATTTGAACTAGTACATGTACATTATATAAATTTATGTGTCCTTTTATCTCTTGTACATTTGAGAACGTGTATATACTGGTTTAATGTATTCTATAATTCTTCTGAAAAGGACAGTTTTAAATATATATGGGATAATAATATATTTTAAATAAAGCAAACTTACTCCACACTCTATTTTCAGTCCTGTAATATATCCTTATATAATGTATACTGTAGATGGATGTCAAATTTACCCACCAGATAACGATTTCCTGTTTATCTTTCGATATCACACACTGATCTCCCATTGCCTGAAGTTTGTCTTCAATCCGTCCACAGCATTGCTAGAGTGAAATTTACTGTTACCCTCAATAAATGGTGCTCGCTGCCATGTAGGCTTTTACAGAGCCAAGTTTTCTACAAAAGAAATTAATTTTCATTCAAAATGATTACAAATCAAAGTTTTATGTGAATAGTATAAATAAATGTATGCTGATTTTAGATAGTAAAAAAGTCAAACTAGTCTTTATAAAAAATAGAAATAAATGAATGTAAATAATTAATACTGACCCGAGGTAAACCTCAATGTCATATAATCTTTAGAAATTTTGGTTAATGTAGGCATCACTTTAATATTTTTGATGAAATGCTTTGAAACTTAAAATATAAATATATAATAACTGGTTACACAAGATGATGTATGTATGGTCAGCACACACAGTGAAAACTGCATGCACATTCGTGCAAGTGCAATGCGTATAATGACAAATATACTTGATACTTGATATACTCTGGCTGTAACTATTAATATTTTTTCTTCTTTTTTTGGATGAAACGCTTTCGCCATGTTAGGCTCTTCAGGCAGTTATACAAATGTCAGGTAGGTTACCTGGTTACGTCCAAAAGCAAACGTTCATTGTGACGTCATAATACATCAAGGTAGCATAAAGTTGCCGTATTGGATAATGTAGAAATATTGAATTAACTTTAACACATAATATACATAAAATCTTACAATATGTTATAAAATAAAGTATCATTTGCGATTAAGATTTGGTTTAAAGAGTTTAATAAAGTAGTCTTCTTTTTGCCAAGCGCAGATTTTCGTTTTCATTGGGAAGTTTATGAAAAGGGAAAATCCTAAATATTCCTTTGCCGCATTTTGCAAAGTGTTCACAACATGGTGTATTACGCACACTAGGGTCTTTAATTTGTTGTTTGTGTATACGAACCCGGGCATTTAGTTTTCTCGTTTCTCCAATATAAAATTCTTTGCACGAAGGACAGATTGCACAGTAGATAACGTTTTCGGATTTACAGCTCATTGGTGAGTTGGTTCGAATTTCCATTCCTGATTTAAGTTGGATTCTATTTCCTTCTTCTAAATATGTACACGTTCCGCATCTTGGATCTCCGCATTTTTTAATGATTGGGATTTCCTCCTGTGTAGTAAAACGGGCCTTTGTTAACATTTTTTTAAGATTGGGTGCCTGTCGTCGACTATTGAAAATATCATTTGGTTGTATTAAACTTTTCATATTTTCCGATTGTTCTAAAATTGTGTAAACTCTTTAACGTCCATAAGGATATTTCTGTTTCGCGGGTTATGGGTCACAACAAAGGCTATTTTCCCGTCAATGGTGTTGTCATCTACACGACGTGGATTTCTAAGGTTCTCCATTGGAATTTTGGACGCCTTGTCTATTCCAGCGTTGATTAAATCAATTGTATAGTTTTGTCGTCGTAGATTTATT